TACATGAAATAGGATGTACGAACCAGGCCTATCCGGTTCAACTAAACCGGTCCTCTATTAACAGTCGCACGCACACTGGAGCAAAACTATGGGCAAACCAGGCCAAATGGATGCACGCAAAGCGAGAAGGGTTGGTGAGGTCAGATCGTTGGTTTAAGTGGAGAATTCTATTCGGGAGTAAAAGGTAACGACTCCACGCAAGATATTTTTGTTTTGCTTCATCCAGTTAGGCCAATTGAACGAAAGGAGCGAACAGAGACTGACTAAGAGGAAAAAGGAGAAGGTAGGTTTTTCAAATTCGGTGTAGATTCTTTCGTGATTTTTAACTTAAGGGAAAAATATTTAATTGAAAGTAGAAGAAAAAAATTGGGAGAGATTTCTAGTGTCAAAAGGTAATATAAGTGGCTTTAATTTCTTATATTTATTGTTCATAATTACATAAAAAATCTATATAATTTCTTTTCTCTAATTGAAGAAATACAATTTGATATTTAATAGGAAGAAATTCAGTAAGGTGAAAGTCTTATCTTGATCCAAAAAAGAAGAAAAGAAAGATTCATCGAAATAATTAATATGATTTAAGGAATATGAAATATTTAATTTTTGGTTATGTTAGGAATAAGAAATATTTAATTTCAGATTATGTTAGGGTTTAAAAATAGATAGTGAAATTGATATTGTTTTAGATATAATTAATATTTTGAAAGTAATCTTTGGCAATAATTGAAGTACTCACCATTATCTTAAGTGATGTAAGAAATATTTAATGTTGCTTTAATGATATTTGGATATTCAAAATAAATCTTAGTAATAACTAAAATGTTGTTGATGTTATTTTGGAACAGTGAGAAATCTATATAGTTGATTTGGAATAAAATATTGAATCACAAGAGATATCAATGGGAGTTTAAGTAAGGTTACATATAATGTTCATGGAAAATTTATTTGAAAGTAACAGATATTAGTTGTAAAATAATAGTGCAATTTTATGTAATTGCATAAGTGATCTTAGGCGTTACATTAAAGAGACCATATAGAAACTGTGAAAATTTGGAAAGGATTTTAGCAAAAAACAGCAAAGTGGATGATTATATTGTTTATAGGAATTTCAATTTCTTTTATACCATTTCAATTATTGTTCTATCACGTATATGTATTTAATGATATTTAATTGTCTAATATACATCAAATTGAGTATGAATAAGCAATTAAAGCTTACAATACATGTGTATGGGAAAATGATTGCATGCCGTAATGAGTATATGTAATGAAAATGAATAGAATGAAAAGAACTATACTATGTAAACGAAAAACAGTGAAAGGGAAAAAACATCCAAAATATAGGAGTTCACATGGGACACAACGTACCAAAGCGCGTTAAAATGAAATAGAAATGAAAATGATTTTACCTTCCTTGGTACAAAATTTTAAACGATGCTTCTATACTGAATGAAAATGAAAAAATGAAAAATTGGGAAATGAATAAATGAAAGTGAAATGCAATACGTTATGTGATATATATACGTAATGTACCCGCGCACGTTAAAATGAAAATAGAAATGAAAATGATTTTACATTCATTGATACAAAATTTTAGACGATGCTTCTATACTAAATAAAAAAGGAAAAATGAATAATTGGGAAATAAAAAATGAATAAATGAAAGTGAAATGCAATACGTTATGTGATAGATATATACTAAGGATTGATATCATATGTATGTATGTACGTACGTACGTACATACATACATATGATATCAATCCTTAGTATATATCTATCACATAACGTATTGCATTTCACTTTCATTTATTCATTTTTTATTTCTAATTTATTTACTTGTCTAACATCCAAACTTTACTATTTACTATTCTATAATCTAAAAACCCTTGCCCACATCAAAACTACCACTCCATAACCTCCCGTCAAATACCTCACCCCGAACCTGTATTTTCGAAACACCTGCTCATGTTATTTCTTATATAGACAGCGGGCATAGTACAAATTAAAAACCAAAGCGACCAATCGCTTTAGGTGTGTTTCCTCCAGTGTTATGGAGACCGAGTGTGAGCCACAAGTCCCCTGTTCTTGCTGCGGCGGTGGCGGCTACTCTACGATACATTTCATCGTCGAGCGGTGGTGGCGAAAAAAATGAGGGAATTAGAAGCAGTAAGATCATGAGGCGGCGGAGCAACTAGTTGATTATTATTTCCCAAATACATATTTGATAATAATCAGATCCATGTTTGGATATAACCAAATGTTATCCAACAATAATTAACTGGTTTTTCAACAATCATATATTATCAGTGTAATAAGATTTAAAGGATTGAAAAATTAGTTAAAATACAAAAAAAAAAGTTTGAAAAAATAATACCAATTATCAAGAAAAGATAAAAACATAATACCTGCGATGGCTGCTGGATACTAGTTGTAGATAGTTGTTGCTCTTGCTGCTATTGGCTGTTGTAGAATAAGAGGCTAGCAGATGCGGATCAAGATTGCAATCTTACACTCCTCCGCTTTTCCCATCTCCAACTGTTGTAACGACAAAGATAGCGAAAGGGAAGGCCCTACTTGGCTTTCCCTCATTCCCCCTCCCAAGCTTACACCTTCTCAAAATATCGAGGTGCCATCACTGTCGAGGACTAAGGAGAGAAGGAATCATTAGCAGCTGAGTTCAATCCACTTGGCCTGCAGAAGATGAGTGGGACAGGTGGCGTGCGATCAGGACGTTCACATGAATAGGAGAATAATTCTCGTACAAAGCGAAGCAGGCGTTTCGAAAAGACAGGGTTGGTGCGAGGTATTTGACGGGAGGATACGGAGTGCTAGTTTTGATGAGGGTAAGGGTTTTTAGATGGAAGAATAGTGAATAGTAAAGTTTGGGTGTGTGTATATATATATATATATATATATATATATATATATATATATATATATTTTAATGTAAGAAAAAATTAATTGAATATGATTTTATGTATGTATAAATACTATACTACAAGTTGTGATTATCCATTGAGTTTATTAGGTAAACTCAAATTGTTACATAACTTTTCAGGTAAATCTTCTGATAAATAAAAATAATTTAAAGAGAAGAATACATCTATATAAGAATATCAAATGAAGACAGGTAAAATACGATTTATGTATATATTCATTTCAAATTTGAAAGTTTGTTAGTGTCTCTTTAGTATATGAGTTATGTTATTATTACTTGTTTATGTATAAGTTAAAGAAATAAATTAATCATCATACTGCTCATTTTGCCTCGTTAATTCGAGTATCTGAGCCGAGTCATGCACTAGATGACTATTTTTTCATGTTTTGCACTAGATGGCTATTTTTTCATGTTTTGCAACATTTGTAACCTTTGTAGTAGGAAGTGAATTCAAGTAAGACACATTACTAGGAGTTTGGTAAGAGCTTGCTCATGGAGTGGGGTTTAAGCCATGAGTAGCATACACAACTAAAGACATTGAGGTGAGAATATTTAGGTTTTCATTCATAAAGGAGTATGTAAGGAGAGAGTTTGTTGGTCATCGAGAAAAGAAGTATGCTAATGAGGTAGAAAACGATGAGGATAATGTTGAACAAAAGGTAGTGGGGTAGGCCAACTTCCAAGAGGATAGTGCAATCTTGTTTCGATTATATGGCGGGTTGGTTAAGAGTCGTAGCTTGGGTTTTAGATGATTTTCGTTGGGTAGATCTACTCTGATACCACATAAAGGAGCTAAACATGTGTTTGGAATTTAAAACAAAGCAAGCAGAGAGGAGAAAGGGAAGAAGGAGCAGAAGCATTGTGAATGATTGCAACTATTCATTCATTTCTTTTTAATGCATTGTTTAATATATAGTAATACAAATACATAGGGAGAACTAGGAGACAATTATGGGTGAAATAGTTAGTAGTAATGTGCACTGATTGGCTTGCCTGTTGCTGGTAGATGATATGATAGAGTTGGAGCATTTGTTGCAGGTTATTATTGGCAAATTGCAAGTTGCAAAAGGAGCAAGAGTTATGCCGCAGAAGTTAGTGCTGTTTCTTCTATTGTGTTAGTATTTTTTCCGGTTGTCATTCAAATATAAGTAAAAAAAGTTGTTCATGCAATAAAATCAAAGGGGAATACTTTGTATCCATGTTCAGAGTAAACAAGGTCTCTAGTAAAATAGGAGGGATCATTGTATACTATGCCTATCACTATTCTACATCTATCAAAATCATTGGGGAAGAGACACTTAGAGATCTTTAAGTTTGGGTTGTCTAGCACTCATTATGTAGATCACAAAACTTTTGTCATATTACAAATTGTTTTAACTCTTTGTTTCTCATTTGCATGTATTAGTATAAAATACTTAGACTTGTTAATTACTTGTACTAGCTTGTATATGTGAATCCTGGTTGGCATCTGACCAAATATGAGTGGAGAATAGCCTTCTATTCTCCTGCATTTACCTTTGTGCAAGGGAATTCTAACTGCAATAATGAAAAAATGACCTGCATTTTAGCATCTTCTTCATGTGGTATGGCTCCACACCAACTAGGCAACTACCCAAAGTAAAGTAGTACTAAGATCATAATTACATCTATAAATTTCTCAAGGAAATTGATATAAGAAATTGTAGATGAAATTAAAAGAAATGCATTAATGATTAACAATTGTATCCCCCATGCCTTCCACATAAAGACCATGAAACCCATCTAACTGCAGCATCAAAAAATCTATAGTAAAGTTTGCATAAAGTTGAACTAAAAAGCACTTGACAACTTCCATATTGAGGTAGGTTTCATTAATCTCTATCCTCCATTCCTTCTCTATTCTCCATTCATGTACTCCGTGTTGCATAATATATCACCATAACATATCATCATCAAACTACCCAAAGAAATACTAAATCAATCAAACATTTGAATTACTGACGCAACAGAAGAAAATTATAAATGATTAAATGGCACAGTGTAATCCAACTAAAAGTGACATAAGAGATGAAAGACTCATACCTAATGCTCGCGACATGGCCAGGATTCCGTGCACCCGAGCACCATTCACGTAGATCACCCGCCCACCTGCTGCTTCAATTCTCGCCAGCTCATCCGGTCGATCCGGCTGCAACGTTAATTATATCTTTATAATCTTAACCTAAGTTCCCAGCACCAAATACTAAGTTAGAAAATAGAAACCAACTAAATAAAATCCTACTCATTAATTCTTTATTTTTTATTGAATTAAGCTCGCTGCCACTATCAAGATTTCCACCTAAAAGACGGGATATCCTAACCAAAGCTTTTACTGGACCACGTGTTTCATCAAATTTTACACGTGTCTCAAAGATTTTTTTTTTTTTTTTGGAAAAGTTGAAATCACAGAACAAGTTTGATTCATACGGGTTTCCTTCCTAACCCTAAAAGAAATAATTACGTAACAGGATCGCCTCCGCCAAACGAATACGTGGCGGGCGTTCATAGCGCTGTACAGTATAGTGGTCCACCAGCCGAAAAATCAGAGAAACAACCCTTTGTTAGAGAGAAATTACGAAGCGTGCCACTAACCTTCTGGTCGATGGAGAGCGGCACCGTCCGGCCACCGCGACTGAGCACCGCCCGCGAATCGCCGCAGTTAGCAACGAGGAGTCGGCCGCCGCCCACTACAGCGACGACGGCGGTTGAGCCGACGATTTCCGACTCGATCCCGGAACGATCGCACCGGCAAAGCGGTTCACCGACCCGCCCGCACGCGCATGCTGAAAGAGCCAGCTGATCCATTCGCACGAAGCATCGCTCCACCGCCGATCTCCACCTAGTCTCCTCTGCCACAACAGGTTCATCAGGCGCCGGCACTCTCATTAACTCTTCTGCGAGAAGAGAGTGCATCCTCTCCTTGCACAGCGCCGAGACCTGCATTTCAGAGAATTAATTCAATTTCTCTCGCCGGGAATAAGATTATCAGCAAAGCATAGCTGGACTTAAAGGAAAACAGCTGTAAAGCAAAGACGATTGCTACAAGTGTTACTTCCGAGAACAATGGCACGTGATCGTAAGCCACGATAATTATCGTACGAAATGCAGCCTTTGGCAACCACTCAGATTTGAAAAGTCTAAACTCAAATATCCATGATTTTTTTCCCAAAAAATATATATATATCCATGATTCATCGAAAATGTTTCATTTGCCAAATAAACCAATTATAAAATCGATCAAAATGTAGGGAAATTTTTAGAAAAAAAAAAAAAAGTTGTTAACATCTTCAGCGTTGTTTCTTAAATTTGTAAAATGGCATAGCATCAAATAAAAATAGTTTATGTTTCACAGTATCATCTCCGTGAGACCTACCGTAGTTTGCTTTTGATCAATCTGTATATGAAAAAACTAAAGAAACTTTTAACTCGAGAAATACGAAGATACTATCAGTTCAGGGATAAATAATGGAGCCAATCACATATATTAAGAAATAAACAAGGCTGATCGGATATTACGTGAGAGCCTCCGTGGCCATCGAAGACACCGAAGAAATGGAGTGGAGAACAGCCATCCGGGAACTGGACGAATCCGGGTCGGACGGATATTGCGTCCTCCATTTCCCTCGCGCGACCTGTCAGTGACACAGAGCCGAAAGCAATAGGGGTATTCACTGCCACCTTTCGGCCTGACGATGACGCGATAACCGTTGAATCAACAGCATCGCCAGAAGAAGATGTGGAGACCGACAGTGAGTCGGCGAAGGAAAATCGCGCAGGTGCCAGGGATGGTAGGTTTGTGCTGTCCGTCGATCTTCGCTTTTCATCACCTGAAACCTCCGAATTACTAGTATCTTCCCTATTTCCCGCCCGCAGAAGGCTCTCTGCCGACGTCGACGCCTCGCCAGGAAACGTTGCACTCCTCCTCACCTCTATCCTCCGGCGGCGAGCGTGCCGGGATTGAGACTCGGATTCGTCTTCCCCGGACATGTCTACGTACGCATCAGCCATGGAAGCCGGTGAACGACCAGATTCAAAGATCCTTCAGTCGAAGGATGATTCCTAAGCCCGTCGTTCTCTACCATCATTAGGTTTTCGGCAGAACAGCTCGCCGGAAAACCGTCACTGAATTTAATATAAAAATAATAATAATTGTTAGTATTTAAAAGAAGGGAAGAAACACAGTAGTCGTCCTTTGGTCTTCTTCTTAAATTGCGAGCGGGCAGCCAATTCCCCGGTCAGTTCTCATTTCTGCCCGCCCTACCCTTTTCTGATAGAGACGTGGTTATCAATCGACACGTGTCACGAGTGACGAAACCCTCATGCTTTAGCAAGCCGAGAATCGCCTAGTTCGTTTATTATATCATATCGCCAAAATTTTATCGTTTTATTAATGTGAGATCGTTAGGGCTTTTTTATTTGATATTTGATATAATAGAGATGAAGTTAAAAGTAAGATTTCAAAAATATTAACGTTAGATTAGAAATAAAAAATTACAATAAATTATAAAATATTTAAATTTTATCTTATAATCTAATATTAATGATATATCATATAAATTTTATCTTAATGGGGCACAAATCTTGAAACAAAAAGAGAAATTTTAAAAATTAAATTCAAGATCATCCAAACTTCGATTTCAGCTAGTTTATGATCAAACTGAATGTCTCATAAAGACAAATCCAACGACACAAAAATCAATCTAATTTGAGCCCAAATCAAGATTCAAAAGCATATTAGGAAGGTTCAAAACATAATTTGAATCACCAAATGAATTCCAAACAAGACATACTTATAGTCAAATTGAGCAACTCGACGAGACGAATCCAACGAGCAAAAGATCGGTGAATTCTAATATCATTAAGACATTCAATGATCAATAAATGTTTACGATCAATGAGATCAATATTGACCGTCCATTCAAACCACTCCCATCTTGACAATCATCCTTCCCATATTTACAAGTCATGTTACTCTAACAAAATTATAAATAGGCACTCATTCTTCACATGAAGGGAGGAGAAAAAGACGAGGAGAATGGAAGAATTTGGGAGCTTGCTTGAGGCCGACTACGGTTGAAGTTCTTCCCGACCATCTATGAACCTCATCCAGTCCGCCGACCATTGCCGAACTTCTGCCCATTATTCGACCACCGTCAAACTTTTGCCTGTCCGCTGACCACCACCATAGTTCTTCCCGACCACCGACGGACTTCCGTAGTCTTGCAACCACTACCGAACATCCTCTAGTCCACCGACCACCGTCGGACATCCGCCCGTTCGTCGACCACCACCAAAGTTCTTCCTGATCGTCGTCGGACTTCCGCCTATCCCCCGCCAGACTTCCATCAGTCCGCCAACCACCACCAGAATTCTTCCCAACCAATAACACTTTTGCCATTCCACCGACCACCGCTGGAAATTCTATCTATTCATTGACCATTTTTGGACTTCTGTCTGTTCGTCGATCGCCTCTATAGGTCTTTTCGACTACTATCAGAACTCCACCCATTCGTTGATCACCTACGGTCCTCTCAACCTATGTCTCTCACTGACTACGATCCTTCCAATCACTGTCGTCCAACAACGACCCTTCCGACCATTGTCGTCCGCTGACTGGAGTCCTTCCGACCACCATCTTCTAACTACGGTCCTTCCAACCTATATCGCCCATTGATTAAGATCTTCCGACCACCGACGCTAACTACAATCCTTTTGACCTCTGTCGCTAGCTGAATACGGTCTTTGTGACCACAGTCGCCCACCGATTATGATCCTTCTAACCACCTTCATTTGACTATGGTCCTTCCGACCTACATCACTAGCTGAGTATGATTCTGTCGCCCAAATGAACATATCAATGCTAATTCTTTGAACTCCTCGCGTATAATGCACTATTTATGATGTATATTTCCTACATCGAGCCAAGATTTTCCTTCTAAGAAAGTGTCTCATTTGTAATCAATTGCAAACATTAGCGAATTTATTCAAACTGAGCTGAGCCCCATGTTTTTCTCCTTTTCAGGGGTTTCCACGTAAAAATTATGATCTCCCTTATAAATTCTATAATCATACTCTTATCTATTTGTGTGTTGGATATTCGTACAAAACTAAGACGCTAAACTATATCACTCTCTACCACCGTAAATATTCTAGGATGCAACAACTAATATATAAACTCTAAATCTTATTAGATATAATTGAATTATAAATTCTCTATTATTATTGTTATAAATCATTTTTATAGCTATCGCTAGTTAGACTTCGAACACCACCGACTCTAGTACTTTCTGCTCATCACCATTTGTTGATTAATATCAATAAATACCCCACAATTCTCATTCTTAGCCACTACCTATTGCCACCGAAAACATCGCTATCAGTCACTACCAACCGTCGTAACCGCTCATCACCATCAACTACCATCATCTATTATTAGACATTATATTAATTTCAAATATTTAAAAATTATTATATTGCTCCACGTCACCCTCCTTTTATTGGAATGAAAAACATATTTATAATTTCTTACCACTTACATCCATTTGGAGTGATTATAGATAATGATAAAATTATTTTAATGAGAAAACCCTTTTTAAAGGCTGGTATATACTTTATTATTATTATTTTTTTAACAAAATTAGATATTAGTTTTCATATTGTTGTCAATCATTGTCTAATTTAATTATAAAAGATATTACATTATTACTCATTAAAAACCTTTTTTAAAAAATACAATGAATTAGTAGCTAAAGAGCAATATAATAATAGTTCGAAAAGCAAATTAGTGAGATAGTTATTCCAAACGGACCCTAATGTTGTTGATGACAAATGAAAAACTATTAAATCTTATTTGCATTACATTTGTGATAATTTCACGAATATATATTTTAAAAAGAAATAAATTGCTATGGTAATGATATAAAATAAATAATAATCATTTTTTATAATTAAAATTTTAGTTCATAAATGATGATTAATTTATTTAAAACTAAAATTGCATTACATTTGTGATAATTTCACGAAATATATATTTTAAAAAGAAATAAATTGCTATGGTAATGATATAAAATAAATAATAATCATTTTTTATAATTAAAATTTTAGTTCATAAATGATGATTAATTTATTTAAAACTAAAATAATGCCACATTGATTAACCTCTTAAATATGCTGCAAGTTTTATCCTCATTAAAAATCATGGTTTAAGGGTAATTAAGTTAAGTAAATACATAAATTAGTTTGCGTTCCGCTCAATAAATAGCTCATGAGTCAAATGTGAAGTGCTAGTAAGAAAAATTTTGAATTATCCCTAACTTGGTTAACCCATGAGCTAGCTCATTTAAAAAATATTAAGATAAATTATATTTAAAAATATATTAGAATTCAATAATTAAATTTAAAATAAAAAATGGATATTTAAATTTTCTATCCTTATTTGTCATCTCAAGCCATTCACAAATATATAAGTGAAATAATTATTATGTA